CTGGCAGGGTACCAAATGTAACCTGCCCACACGGCAGAGTCTGGTAAACTCCCCATGGCGTACCCAATATGCCAAATACCAGTGACAATGATGGGTCTCACTCTCCTAACCCTGAAAGAGCCTTGAATATGGCACTTTTTAAAAAATCTCAGGGCTAGGATGAAGGAGACGTTACTGGGGCCTACTCGAGGCAATCGACGAATAACAGGATGGTTGTGATCGTGATTGTGATTTTCTGATTGGGTTGGATGTTGTCTTCTTGTGGAGTTCAACCACTGCCTTGTAAATCCTTGATATAAACCTCTTATCAGATGAGTATAGGGTGAATATCCTTTCCCATTCTGTAGACTGTCTTTATATTCTGGTCACTGTATCTTTTGAGGAGCAGAAGCTTCTCAGTTTAATGTAGTCCCATTTTTTTATCTCTGTTTCCACGTGATTGGCCAATGGTGTGTCACCTTTAGCTTCAATGTCGTGGAGGGTTTTGCTGATCTTGTCTTCAATGTACCTAATGGATTCTGGTCTGATGTTGCGGTCTTTCATCTATTTTGATCTGACTTTTGTGCACGGTGTTAGATAGAGGTCCCAGCCCATTTTTTTTACAGGTAGTCATCCAGTTTTGCCAGCACCATTTGTTAAAGAGGCTTTTCTTGCTCACTTCACATTTCTTACTCCTGTATCAAAGATTAGATGATCATATATTTGATGGTGTATGTCAGAATATTCAACCCTGTTCCATTGATCTATGGTTCTGCCTTTGTTCCAGTACCATGCTGTTTTAATTATTACAGCTTTGTAGTAGAGTTTGAGTTTGGGAAAGGTGATGTCTCCCATTATTTCCCCCAAGAATAGCTTTATCTATTCTTGGACGTTTGTTGTTCCATATGAAAATCAGAAGTGTTTGATCCATTTCTTTGAAGAATGTCATGGGTATCCTTATAGGCATCATATTGAATTTATACAATGCTTTGGGCAGAGAGTATTGCCATTTTGACAATGTTAATTCTCCTAATCCATGAGCAGGGATATCTTTCCATTTCCTCGTGTCCTCTTTTATTTTGTGTAGTAGCGATTTTTATTTTTCTTTGTACAGGTCTTTTACCTCCTTATTTAAGCTGATTCTAAGGTGTTTGATTTTCTGAGGCATAATTGTTTATGGGATTGCTTCTTTCATGTTGCTTTCTTCACTCCCATTATTTGCGTATAGGAAAGCCATAGACTTTTACGTATTGATTTTATAGCCTTCAGCTTTACTATACAAATCTATTGTTTCAAAGAGTTTCTTGTTAGAGGTTTTAGTGTTCTCTAAATATAGTATCATATCATCTGCGAACAGTGAGAGCTTGATTTCTTCCTTTCCTACCTGAATGCCCTTAATGTCTTTTTCTTACCCAATCATTATTGCAAGCACTTAAACATGGACATTTTAAAACAGGCATATTGTAATGTGTTGAAAAGTTCATGAATTGGGTGTTGAATAACAAATAACAAGATAACTACGAATGGAAAACCACAATATACCAGCTTTTCAAGAGTATGGAGAAACCCCATTCCTGAATAGTAAATGAGTCAGCTGCTACTCGCATTGCTATTGCTGCTGCTAAAATAATGAACATAATTCTTACTACTTGCTACTACTACTACTATTACTACTAACAAATGTATCAATAGTACTAAACTATTACTTATTAATATTAATAAAACCCTTATTAAAGGTCAGTCATATTTATTTCAAAGTAACTTTCGAATGCTTACTGAGTCTTGGATATAGATAATGGTGCATGTGTTCCTTGTTGGGAGAGGGGAAGTTACATGCCAGGGATTCATCAGCAAAGAATAGTAGGGATCAAAAATGAATTCAGTCTCTACTAAGTTCTTCTAGATTTCAGCTCCAGAAAGGTAATACAATCCTCTTTGTATAGGGTTTACACAAACTAATTGGTCATTTTTACTAAACCTTATTTACATATATAAGGTTTAACCAATAAGATTGCAGAAACAGCTAAGAATGGGGATAGGTAATACAGGTTATATAGGTCACCACATAAGAGATATATCATCAAATGGAGCGATAGCACAGCGGTAGGGCATTTGCCTTACAAGCGGCCAACATGGCCGACCCGAGTTCGATTCCTCCGCCCCTCTCGGAGAGCCCGGCAAGCTACCGAGAGTATTCGATATGCCAGACACAGTAACAACAAAGTCTCCAATGGAGACGTTACTGGGCCCGCTCGAGCAAATCGACGATCAACGGGAGGGCCTTTTAATATAGATGATAAGGAGAAGACAACACAGATAATGCAAACCAAGACAGTGTGGAGCAAAGCAGGACAAACAAGGCAGTAGCGGGAAGAAACCTGTGAGTAAGAGAGTAAGAGGAATGGTGATTGAACTGCTGACTAGGATGTCAAGTTTCCTATTTCTGCAGTTGCCAAAGACAAGAGAGCTACACCTACATATTTTTAAAATAAAGATCTGTTAAATTTAAAAAGGTACAACACTGAAAACATCTGATGCTGGCATGGTAACCTGGATGTTTGCTTGTTCAGCTGTAACGTCTTATTGGGTATGACTTCAATGCATCAAATACAGAGAGGTACCAAGATCTTTTCCTCTCTCAGATTTCATGTGTGGAATTCATAAGTCATTTGGGATAGAGATGTACATATTACAAACTTAGTGAAATACAAAAACACATAAAATACCTTTTAAAAAATTGGTTTACTCAAGGACTTAACAATTAACTAAAAAGTATTCATTTCACAATACACAATGAAATATTCCTTTAAAATATTGAAAATGAATATAATGACAGTGAAGAGAAAAAGGTAAAAAGTTCCTTACAATCAAGATTTTGCTCCTCTGAACACTGGATATTTACCTCTTCATTCCCCTCAAATGCTTACCTGTAAATATTTTTGGAATGAGATAGTTAAAGAGTCATGCCAACTCTTGTAATGTGTAACAAAGGGGAAAAAAGCTTGGGTGCAGTCAGAGAGACATGGATTCAAGTCACAGCTACATTTACTTTTGGTATGATCTTGAGCCAGATATTTTATCTTCTTGGGCTATAAATCCTCTAACTGAAAAATAAGTAGAATAATATTTAACCTTCACGATTATTATAATGACTAAATGAAATAACATATTGAAGTACCTAGTAATTATTAGGTCCTTACGAAATTTTATCGTTGCCAGTTCAAGATTTATAGTTCATCCATTGTCAGTTTCCTTGAACTGCTGGCCCAATATATATAAGCAATTTTCTATAGTTGCTACTCTTCCATTACTACTCCTTTTTCATGGCCTTTTCTGAGTTTCTATCTATCAATCAAATCTGGGACAAGAGATTCATCACAACAACTCCTTTTCTTTAAAGGAGAATGTGAAAGGGAAGGTGTTGAAGTTCATTCTTTAGCAGTCTTTGGGATAGATCAGAGCAAGGGGATGTTTAGTGAACCACCACTCCGTAGCTCCAATGAAACCTAAGGTTCTCACTCTCTAGTCTAGCCTTTGATCCTTGTACAAGGAAACACTTAACATAGTCATGGTTATGTATGTGGAAGATCTATTCTACTGGGTTCTCAGTTGCTTTCTCTAATTATCAATAATGTTTCAACATTTGTGTTTTTTGAGGCAGGAAGTGGGGCAAACCCAGTGATGCTCTGGCTTACTCCTGGCTCTGCACCCAGGATTCACTTATGGTGATACTTGGGATTGTATGGGATGCTGGGGATTGAACCCAAATCAGCCGCATGCAAGGCAAGTGCCTGATTCATATATTACCTCTACAGTCTGTAATCTTTAAAAGTTTGTAATGGTAACTGTGCTCAAGAAAATCAGAGCAAAACCACATATCTGTCATCTTCAAATATACTGAGGTTCCACTGACTACTGCTTCTTTGGTCACAATATACACACCTGCCTATTTTATTTATCATTCTAATGAAACAAAGAAGAAAGACCACATTTCTGAAAGGCCATATTCTGAAAAAAATACTAAAAGATTAATCTGTTCTTCAGGGATGAGGCCTCACAAACATTCCCTTTGGCTGTAAACTGCTGGTAAATAACTCCCACTTGGCTCGTTTCATCTTGGTTTGTGGTAACTGAGCCTTTTAGAAAGGATAGAGCTAGTAAGAGTTCAATATGGTCATTGGAGCGTATTTTCAATACAAGCAGAATTATTCTGATTCAGTTATTTCCAAAAACTCTTTTAAGGCAGAGAGTCTTTGATATTCCTCAACATATCAATATCATGTTCAGAGTTTCCTCTTGGAAGTAACTAATGAATTTCAGTGGTACTATTTTAAAGGCATCTCAAAGATGGCTTAGGTATGTGTACAATTTCATATTCTTTCTCTGCATCTGTCTCTATCCCCTCTTCAATCTTCCTCTACTTATCCCCTTGTTCAATCTTCCTACCCTACACATACCTCGATGTTTTTGCTCTCTAAGCATTGAAGTCAGTACACTAGTAGATACTCCCCAGAAAATCAAGCAGGAAAGTACTTTCTCTCACACTGACCACATTTAAGTACACAGACATCAAAGAGATTATGTCAAGGTATTTGTGTTGAAACAGAAGCAATTATAATTTGTCTTGCAGCTTCCTTTCTAGATACATGAATCAGGTATTCTATGACTCACATTCTTGACTCACTTATTACATCAGTTGGGTTCTTTATTTTGAATAAAATAGCAAATTAGAAAACTAGTAGTTATTTCTAGAAGTTTTCTATTTGTTGGTGAATATGATAGGCAATAATACAGGATAAAAGTCTTACTGTTTACCCCTAAAATGAAAACCGCCAGAGCTTCGAATGATAAGTCCTTTGTGAGATCATGTGCTGAAATGCATAGCAGCTTAGAGACCTTAAATTTGTTTAGACATGACTACTTACATGGTCTGTCAGTCTTTCCAATAGTACACTAGGCAATTTTATTCAACAATTTTCATATAAGACCCTTATAATACTTTATGGATTTTTAAAATAATATTTATCCACGGGATTATGGTTTTTAGTATTTATTTGTCACAGACCCACATGAAATTCAGTATAATATTATGGCCCATCTCCCCACACAAGGCATACAGTTGTGAAATTCGGCACATAATTTCAGACAATTCATGAAGCTCCTGAATCATAGACACCAAGTTAAGAACTGATTTCTTTATGAGATAAAGGGCTTTTTTTGCAGAAGGCATACAAGAAGCAAAAAATGAAACTCTTGCACAATAAATATAGTCTGTCTTTTTAAAAGCCTGTTTTAGCTTCTGTAGCTTTCTTGATTGCTTGTACAGGAAGCTATCAAGGAAAAAGGAAGAAAATATTCATATAGACCAAATTGACATGCAAAACATGCTTTGAATATTTGTCCTAATTAATATAGGAAGCTTCTAATCCCACAAATGCACATATTATATTCTATACTTGGGACTACTTGGAGGATTTGAGGAGTGCATCACCCATATTGTCTAGTCCAAAAATACAGGTTCTTGGCAACAAACTCCATTATCAAGTTTCCAACCTGGCACTAAAATTCTTAGTAGAGATATGTTAATATTCACCAATATTCAGCAAACATTTATCTTTCCTTACTTCAAAGTTAATCAATAGATCCAATTTAAGAAGGTTTGACTTCAGGGCAAGATACCTGAGAAGGATCGCTACCCCAAAACATTTTAGAATTTGGTGTAATTTTGAGGATGCATAGAAGAGTTGAAAACTGAATTCTCCTTTTCTACTCAAATCACTGAATAATTTTGTTTAGTCTGGCTAGTTTGAGGAAGTTCAAACATTCACAGTCTTAAAGGAACTCAATATAAATGTTCTGAGGCAATGAATACAGAATACAGAGAGTAAAACTTCTGTGTAAGACTTGTGTTCCTTATATTTTAGCATCCCAGAACCTAAAGGTACAGGAAAAGTAAAGATGTGTGCTCTTTTGCACAATAACTCAACACAAAATATTTGTAGAAGATACTTTCAGAGCCTGTTACTTGAGGCCAGGTCTTTAAAATCCTGAAAGAGAAAGAAGAAAGTCAGGAATTAGCTAGGATTAGCAAAGCACTTAACCAGTGTGTAGTGAGGCTATTGATAAGCAGCTAACTCTAAAACTGGAAGCTAACCTTCCAAGGAACTAGCTAGGAAAGTTGCCTATAATCACAACATAAGAAATAAGGTACTGTAACACAGAGTTACAGTACAGAGCTGGAAATTTCATGCCTTTGGCCTCAAATCTAATGCTCAAAAAGTCTATGTGAAGTAAAATTCTGATAACTCTGAGTTAACCTCTGACTGTCTTTTTTTGGTCACTGTCATTATGGCTATACAATAAATTCATAGCTCCTTTGGCTGGAGGATGACAAAATAATGTCTATCCATGGTATTCTGAGGACTGGCAATACAAAGTAGAAGTTCCAGGTACCTGGATTCCATGTATGTGTATATATTGGTTTATTTCATGTCAACAAACTTACAAAATGCAAGTAATGCCATAGTCATCAGATTTCCTAGGTAGAAAAGGGTATTTACATGACCTCTGGGGCTCCTATTCCCATTCCAAATTATTTATACTCCTGACTGCAATTACTCTATTTGTTGAATAAATGCACATATTATATTCTATACTTGGGGGATTTTATTTGAATCAAATGATATAATAACTGCAAAAGTGCTTTCCATTAGACAATGTTAAAGTATTAAGAATGATATTTGGGTGGATAAGATTGAAATAGTGGTTTTTCCCCATGAAATAATAAAATCCTTTTATAAATACTGACGATTATAAATAGTGAAGGTTAACTCTTCAAACTTAGTACTGAAAGAGAGGTTATTTATATTCTTACAGACACAAGGGATGTCAGAATTATAATAATCCAATCTTCACATTTTGTAAATTTTGATATATAGGTTCAGAAAGGGCTGGAGCGATAGCACAGCGGGTAGGGCGTTCGCCTTGCATGCAGCCAACATGGCCGCCCGAGTTTGATTCCTCCGCCCCTCTTGGTGAGCCCAGCAAGCTACCGAGAGTAACTCGCCCGCACGGCAAAGCCTGACAAGCTACCCGTGACGTATTTGATATGCCAAAAACAGTATCAACAAAGTCTCATAATGGAGATGTTACTGGGCCAGCTCAAGAAAATTGATGAACAATGGAAGGACAGTGACAGTGACAGGATCAGAAAAGGGAATTTACTTGTATAGAGTAATGTAGTCAAGTATTCTAATAAGCTCTACTCAAAGGAAATTTGTAAAACTAAAGTATAGACAGAGAAACTCAGAATTGGAAGGCTTCAGGGTGTGGCAATTATAGGGTGATTAACAGAGGCATGATGCTGAGTTTGTATTTCTGCACCTACATGGTATTGCAGTTCTCAAATATTTAGATTCTATAAAGGCTTATGTGTAATGAGTTTCTGTAGTAACGGATATTCCATACCTGTGCTTTCAACTCTCATCTCCAGGCAATCTTCCTTGAGAACTGTTGGTAAATGAAAAAAAAGAAATTTTACTAAGGCTCTAGAAACCAGAATTGGAAAGTTCAAACAAGGAGATGTGTGACCCTTTTAGGCTAGTGTGAAGGAGACCATGAGAAGAAGGGAGAAATTACTCCGCAAAGTATTTCCTCCAAAAAGGCAACAGCAGTTACTTTAGGATGGTCAGTACTCCCAATGCCTTTTCACCCTGTGCCAGCTGTGAGCACTTACTTTTATGCCAATGTTCACACAGTGTAGCAGCAACTGTTTTGTTAGTGGTGATTCTGGTACCCTCAGTAAATCTGTTCTACATCAGAGTCCTGCCCCCTCCCATGCTAATGATTTCCCAGGACAGTAGCAGCAACCGCCCCAGAGGTGGATGAACCAGGTCCCATCCTAGACCCTCTGAGAGGCTACAAACAGAATGTTGTGCCTGTGCTGAATACTGACCAGAAAAGCAGGAGCCCGGAGGTAGCAAATAAAACTGTAATCACTGCTGATACAAGCACAAGAGTAGTTAATGGATAGCATCCCCACCCTCATACAGTGGAGCACCAAAAACTGAAAAAGTGAAGAAACTAATCAATGTCAATATAGGGTTATAAAAGTCTAGGAAAATATAAGAATCCCAAACTATATCTGATCTTTTAAACCTGTCTGAATAAGACTTTACATCAACAATCATATTGACGCTTGAAATGGATTAAAGACAAATATTAGACAAGAATCCATAAAATATATTGATGTAAACATAGGCAGAAATTCCCAGGAAATATAACTTAGAGGGTTTTTCAGTGATTTAACTCCAGAGGCAAAAATAACAAAATCATAAACAGATTAAATAAAATTAAAAAGCTTTTGCTTAGCAAAAGAAACTTAAGCAAAAAAAGCCTATTGAGTGGGGAATGTATTTTCAGACAATACATCAAAGGGCTAATACTCAAGATTTATAAAGCACTCACAGACGTCAATAACGAAAAATTCCAATAATTCCATTCAAATATGGAAGAGGAGAAACTTCCACAAAAAGACAAACAGATGTCTAGTAGACAAAAAGAAGTGCGAGTAGTCACTTCTGCACAGGAAAAAACAAAAAAACAACATTTAGATATCACCTCAGACTAGTGAGGTTGTCATGTATCAAAAAGATTGGACACAACCAGTATTGGTGGAGATGTTGTGAGAGAGGAAACTTCCATTCACATTGGTGGAAATGTTGCCTATTGTCTGTTTCAACCTCTATTGAAAATCAGTATGGAGATTTCTCAGAAACTTCAGAACAGAACTCCATATAATCCAGAAATTCCATTTTGTGGCATATACCTCACTCAAAACGCAAAAATATTAATTTGAAAGAGACTATGCACACTCATGTTGACTGAAGCAATTAGTACAATAGCTGAATATGAAAACAACCCAAATGTCCAACTACAGATCAATAAGTTGGGGACAGAGTGATAGTAGAGCATGTAAGGTACTTGTCTTGCAAATTTCCTGCCTGGACTCAATCCCTGGAACCTCTGGTGACCTGATGAATAGACCAAGAATGATCCCTGATATTTAGTGCATTCAGATAATAAATGAAGAAGTCTAGCTCTCTCTGTTGCAGATGACATGATACTATACTTAGAAAACCCTAAAAAGTTTTAAAATGCCTCCTAGAAACACTACATTTGTATAAAAAATTGGCAGCCTACAAAATTAATATGAGAAACCCATGGCTTTCCTATATGCAAATAAATAAAGAGATATTTAAAAAATCACAAATGTGCCTCAGAAAAAAAACTGAGCTGGACTTCTTCCTTTATTATCTGATGCACTAAACATCATTTAACTCTTGCCTAGTTTCTATAGTGAGTATTTCCAATACTATACTGATAGAAGTGGTGATAGTGGTCAAACATGTCTTGTGCCTGATATTAGAGAGAAGGCTTTTAGATTTTCTCTATTGAGAATAATGTTTGTTGTAAGCTTCTTGTAAATTGCTTTTACTATATTAAATAAACTTCAATTCCCAGTTTTCTGAGAGTTTTATCATAAATGGGTATTGGATCTTGTCTATTTCTTTCTGCATCTATTGATATGATCATATGGCTTTTATCTTTTATTCATATCATGTTGACTGACTTGTGAATGTTAAACCATCCTTGCATCCTTGGGATGAATCTTACTTAGTAATGGTATAAGATTTTTTTGATGAGTTTTTGGACTCTGTTTTCTTGTGTCTGTTGTGGATCTTTGAATCTGTGTTCATCAGGGATATTGGCCTGTAAATATGTCTCTTCTTGGTGTCTCTATCTGCTTTTGGTATCAGGATGATAAATACTTCATTATAACTGTTCAAATGTGTTTTTGTTTCTTCAATTTCCTGGAAGATGTTGAAGAGTATTGGCATTAGGTCCTTTTTAAAGGTTTGAAAGAATTCACTGGTGACTCCATTTGGGCCTTGGATTTTGTTTGTGGGAAGACATTATATTACCATCTCAATTTCCTCAATCACGATAGGTCTGTTTAGGTATTATAAATAATCTTTGTTCAGCCTTAGAATGTTATAGTTGTCCAGAAATTTGTTCATTTCTTCTAGGTTCTCTTGTTTCATAGAATAAAGATTATCAAAGTAATCTCTGATGATCTTTTGAATTTCTGTGATTTCTATTGTAATATTCCCCCTTTTATTTCTAATTCAGATGATTAATTTTTTCTCTTTCTTTATGAGTCTTGATAGACAGTCTTGCTAGTGATCTTGTTTATTTTCCCAAAGAACCAGCTCTTGGTTTAAATTACCATCGTATTTTTAATGTTTTTTTTTTATTCCAGCTTGTTAATTTAGGTTTTATATTTTATTATTTACTTCTCCTGCCTGCTTTGGACTCTTTTTGTTCATTTTCCAGTTTCTTAAGTCACGCAATCAAGTTACTTATATAGGCTCTTTTTTTTTTCATTCTGATGAATGCTTGCATAGCAATGAACTTTCCTCTTAGCACCGCTTTTGCTGTATCCAACATGTTCTGAAAGGCAGTGTCCTTTTTTTTTTTTTGCTTTCAGGTCACACCCGGCGATACACAGGGGTTACTCCTGGCTCACGCACTCAGGAATTAAGCCTGGCGGTGCTCAGAGGACCATATGGGATGCTGGGAATCAAACCCGGGTCAGCTGCATGCAAGGCAAACACCCTACCCACTGTGCTATCGCTCCAGCCCCTATTTTGTTTCCATGAATCTTTTTTTTTGAAAAGAGTCACTGTAAGATAGACTCTTACAAAAATGTTCATGATTAGGTTTCAGTCATACAGTGTTCACATACCTATCCTTCCACCATTGTACATTTACCAGTATCAGTGTCACCAGTTTCCCTCCTATCACCCCACACCTCACCCCTTGCCTGCCTCTATAGCAGGCACTTATATCTCTCTTTCTCTCTCTGCTTTTGGGCATTGTGGTTTGCAATACAGATACTGAAATGCTGTCTTATACATCTCTTTATCTACTTTTAACATTTAGCTCTTGTCCAACATGAGCATTTCTAACTATTATTGTCATACTGGTCCCTTCTCTATTTTACCTACCCTCCACCCCCTACACACTTGTGGTAGATTCCAAAATAGGAAATTAAATGCAAAAAATAATATAAAATAAAAAATTCCCCTCAGAACTTTTTCTAATACTAGGCACAAAAGTCAGATCAAAATGGATTAAAAGCCTCAATATCAGACGTGAATCCATAATGTACATGAAAGAAATTGTGGGCAAAACCCTCTATGACATCGAAGCTAAAGGCTATCCTATAGATGCAAAACAAATACAGTATGAATGACATCTACACTTGCAGCACTATTTATAATAGCCAGAATCTGGAAAAAAACCCGAGTGCCTGAGAACAGATGACTGATTAAAGAAACTTTGGTACATCTACACAATGGAATACTATGAAGCTGTTAGAAAAGTTGAAGTCATGAAATTTGCATATAAGTGGATCAACATGAAGAGTTTCATGCTATGTGAAATGAGTCAGACAGAGGGACAGACATAGAAGGACTGCACTCATTTGTGGAATATAAATTAACAGAATGGGAGACTAACATCCAAGGATAATAGAGATAAGGTCCAGGAGGATTGCTCCATGGCTTGGAAGCCGGCCTCATATACTGGGGGAAAAGGGAGCTGGGATAGAGAATGGACCAATATGTGAATGATGCTTGGAGGGCTCGCTCAGGATGGGAGATGGATGCTGAAAGTAGACTATAGACTAAACATGATGGCCACTTAACTATCTGTATTGAAAACCATAAAACCCTAAAGGAGAGATAGTAAAAGGGAATTTGCCTTCCACAGAGGCGGGGGCAGTGGAGGTGGCAGGAGGGATATTAGGAACATTGGTGGTGGAGAATGGGCACTGATGGAGGGATGAGTACTTGATCACTGTATGACTGAAATGTAATCATGAAAGTTTGTAAGTCTGTAAATGTATCTCACAGTGATTCATTAAAAATATTTAAAAAAACATTTTTAAAGGGTAAAAATAAAAAAGGAACAAAAATACATGATACATGACACACCAAGCAAGTGGAAGTAAAGGTAACCCAATGGGTTACATTTAACTAAAGTGTCTTCACCTCAAAAGAAAGAGTGACCAAGATACAAAGACAGCCCATAGACTGGAAAAATATATTTAGCCAAAACCCATCTGATAAGGGGTTAATATCCAAAATATACAAAGCACTGGTAGAACTTTACAAGAAAAAAGCCCATCCAACCCCATCAAAAAATGGGGAGAAGAACAGACACTTCCTCAAAGAAGAAATACAAGTGGCAAAAAGGCATATAAAAAACGCTCTTCATCACTAATCATCAGGGAGATGCAAAGCAAAATAATGATCATACACCAGAGACTGGCACACATCACAAAGAACAAGAACAACTAGAGCTGGCTCAGATTTGCGGAGAACGGCACTCTCCTTCACTCTTGGTGGGAATGATGACTGGTCCAACCTTTTAAGAAAACAATA